TCTAAAGCATTTCCATGACTACTATCAACTTGAGAAGGGAGGATAATTCCATGCATACTTTTGGTCAGGGTAAAGTTTCCTATTCTTGTAACTGGGATGTGAATGTGAATGTCCAGAACCCTGCTGTAACATCTGGTTGGTGAATATGATTGATGACTTTAGGCAGAGGGGAGGGAACACAGGGGTAAAGTTCAGACACCATTAAGTGGGATTTAGTTTCGGCTCCACAGAAGTCCGTGCCAAGATGTTGATCCTAATAAATGAATGTTTTTTTTAACTTTGTCTCAAGGCTCATAAATTAAGTCATCTCTTGGGAACTTCACAGAGAGATGAAACTAAATCCCACTTAATGGTGTCTGAACTTTACCCCTGTGTTCCCTCCCCTCTGCCTAAAGTCATCAATCATATTCGCCAACCAGATGTTATGGCAGGGTGCTGGACATGCACATTCACATCCCAGTTACTAGAATATGAGACTTTACCCTGGCCAAAAGTATGCATGGAATTATCCTCCCTTCTCAAGTTGATAGTAGTCATGGAAACGCTTGACATCCTCCTGGCTAGACAAGTGGAGACCAACCATTTGGTGGCAAGGGGGTACCCGCAGACTTAGGATATCAAGGGGCCCAAACCCTTCCCACACCAGCAAACAGAAACACCACCCATGCTGGAAACTCCCCAAAAGAGCCCACAAGAACAACTAGCAACCACATCTGACAAAACCCCAGAGGCCAAACTGATTCCGATGGAATTTCAGAAAAAGATTATTTTGTATGGGTGCTGTAAAGAGAAAAATCACACATTTGGCACCAATTCCATATTTACTGTCCTTGCATAACTGATGGGAGTTGGATAAAATAAGAAGTTAATGAGAAAGACATCACAGATTTTCCAAACGAATTCTATCAGTTTCCTAAGAATAATGATGTTGCTGCAACTCAAGTGTCAACATTTAGTTACAGTAGTGACCAAAATTGTGGAAATCTTTGGGAAAAGTGTATTTTTGAGGTTTTATGGCTAATAACACCACCTTTTTTGGAGTAGTACCATAAAGTTATATATCAATGGAAAGACAATTTAATCAAGAATGTAATGCAACAAAGTGTGCTCAATTATCTGTATTCTATGAAAAGTTATAGCCATATAACCAGAAAATGGAAGCACAACTTGATTAGGTTGATACCAGGTAGCTTTCCTTCATCAGATTGTAGCCAATGAGCATGAGTGTTTAGAGAGCCAATCAGGTGTCATCTTGTTTTGGCCATGACCCAATCAGATCACAGTAGGATTCAGTTATTGATGTAATGTATTGAAGCTGAGAAGAGGACATTTGTCAGTGTGTTATGTTATCGCTATCAAGTTGGTTGGCATTTTTTGTGTTCTTTCATTTAGTGAACTTGCAAAATGTAATCAAATTAAAGTAATGGTGCAAAGAGTTGACTAGTCAGCCAGAAAGTCATGTAAAATAGTACTATTAAGTTAAGGTGACCAGATTTTCAGATTGGTAAAGAGGGACACTTTTGACCGGATCACTTTTGACCCGGGGGGGGGGGGGGGGNTACCTACCTACCTACCTACCTACCTACCTACCTACCTACCTACCTACCTACCTATCTACCTACCTAACTATTCTCTCTCTCCCTACCTT